GAAACTGCATTGATTTGTTTTACAGCGAGTGACCACGGGGTGGCCACAAAGAGTTAATAGCACCAAATACACATCCTGAAGGTAACATCCATGGAGGTGTACAGTACATGTCTACACAATGCCAAAGCCCTTAGATACCTTCTTGTTTATATGCACTTATTTTAACTGGAAACCTCTTGCCTTAAAAAGAGTGTTCCAAATTATTCTGAGCAGTTGGAATGCAATCTGGTTGGAGCCTGCAGTGACATATGCACTTCAAATATTTTCAGATTATTTCCCCCCAAAATGTACTGGCTTCCTATAGATATTGAAACATGCTCACTGTAGCATTGATAGCTCCTGCATAGTCATAACAACTGTAAGTACAGGACAAACACACCAGGTAATAAGAGTTTTAAAGTTTTGCATTCTGTATTTGTTTGCAACATACAGGTGATCTCAGCAAGTGAAACATCTCTTAACACCAACAGAATAAAATACATTTTGTTTGTTTGTTTGTTTTCAGTTTGATTTGTGCAAGGCTTTTTTTTTTTTTTCTTTTTTTTTTTTTTTTTCCAGTATTTACAATACCCACCCAGTAGACTGTGCAAAACCAACCCACTTTTACAGTATAAACTCTTTCTCTTCCACAGTGGACATCACTGCTTCAGTGTTCTTTTATGCTGAACTCTTCATGTACAACAATAGCAATCAAAACAACATGCTAGAACTAGAAAAAGGAAAAAAAAAACAACCCATATATTTGTGCTCATGCTGCATCAAGTGCATCCAGCTCTGCTGGATAAGAATTCAAAACATCTGTCCTCCAAAAACTCCATTCCATGGGACCAAATGGATTTGAACTGATTTTCTCAGCATTTAGGTGGCAGTGTAAGTGGGTTTGGGTTCCTTGTGTATTTCTGAGGGTAGGCAGAGCAATCTATTCACAAGATAAAAATATTATATAGCAACTGTTCTTTCTCCTATCCATTTCTTTAAAAAATCATGATATACAGTTATGAGGCTACTGTGTTAAACTGACGTTTTCTCATTAGTAAATGAAGAAAAAGAAACAGTGTAAATTACCAATGGTTTAGGAATTAAACCAACTGTAAAACTGTTCTAGAAATCTGTTTTAAGGCAGTGAGACAGCACCATAAGAAATGTTCCTTCTTTCACTGAAAAGGCTCAAACAAATGAAGCCCTAAAAAGCCTTTAATCAGTGTTGGTTAATAATTGGTATAAAACTGTTGTTAAGGAGCGGGCAGGTGGTTAAAAAAGACGTTTGTGGTAAAAACAACTTTATAAAATCTGTGACTTGTGTACTAAAAACTTGATGGAGCGCATCACCGTGACCATGGCAGTTAGAATTAAATTGGCACTTATCCAGCATATCACAGTCATGTTTTCTGGTGATTGCACAATACTATGTGTGCTTTCTGAGTTACTATCATCATCTTTGACTTGTTTTGGAATGGGCAGTAGTGTACAACACAAACACCACTGCAGTCCTGTGACCAGCACCATGTGGCACAACAGAGGTTAGAAGAGAACTAGAAGACCGCATTGTTCATGCAGAGCCTCAGGGTAAACTAAAGGAAAAGAAAAAACAAAACACAAAAGAAGTTGCACTGTAAACTGTTATAGAGAAACAGAGACAGAGAGAAAGAGGAAAAGGGGAAAAAAAATATTCCAGTTTGGCTAACACGTGTGCAATTTGCTTAGATGCCCTTGGTCTAGGGCCCTTTCCAGTTGACAAATGGAGTCTCACTTGGCTCCATAAGTATTGAAATGCCTTGAAATTAAACTAATTCAAGCTTTCCACTTCAATTTTTCTTCCTGACTTTGCAGAGTTAGGTGTCCTGCCTACCTACAACACACCATTCTCACTCAGGGACCTTGGCATGCTGCTTTAATACCGGCAGTGGTCTAGTGGAAACAGATTTTACCATAATCCTCCACCAAGGTTTGTCCCTTGTTCAGAGAGTTGATTCAAGGGATGAATCCAAAATGTCATCATGGTGGCTGGTGCTATCACTGTCACAGCTTTGTGCGCTCGAATAGTTGGCTGCCTCTTGAAGCCTCATTAGCATATTCATCTGAAAGAAGAAAACAATGTTTACACAATCTCATCTCATTTAATGTTGCAGTGACCGTGTTAAAATTTAATTAAGCTCCTTGGCTGTATAAGGTGTGCTGGTATCTAGCTGAGGGGACCGTACAGAAGGATTTTAGAAGGGGCAGGGTGTCAGCGACTCCTCCTGGCACCCTTTTCATTGCTTTCTGGTCTTTAAATAGAAGGTTAAAGGTCCAGAGAGCCAGAGGGATACAATGGAGCTGCCCGATAACTCTTTTTAATTCAGAGGTGAAACTGGCTGCGGCTGCAACACGGGCAAGGGAAGGAAGCCATATCACAGCTGGACATCTGTGCCTGTATTTAGAGACAGTCAAGCTTCCAGATAATTTTTGGCTGGTGTAGACACACTACATTGGAAAAGCGACTGAAAACATAATCATGCTAACATACTCCCTCTGCAAGAGAGAGATGAGGAGGGAGCAAGAGAAGGGTGGACTGAGCCAGCTGCTTCATAAGAGTCCCATCTGCTGCAGAGGGGCTGACCGCAGCAGGGGAGCAGCAACAGATCCTCCTACCCAGGAGAGGAGAGCTTCTACGTAATTTGAAGATTATTGGAACCTGAAGCCTATCTGAAAAATCATCAAAAAGCAGCATTAAGCTCCAGAAAATTACTTGGATACTTGACACCTAACTCTGTGTAATGATCAGGATTTTATTTATAAAACCTTTGTTTCTGCCAGCATGCTCAGGGCTGCAAATGATGCTGACTTTGCTTTAGGGTTTTTCAAGGAACAAATACACTGTCATTATGAAAACTGGCAACGAAAAAACAAAGAGAAAGGTATTCTTGTGTTTTTCCTCAGGAACTCTTACATCTGTATGTTTTGAACCTGCACAGCTTGTAAAGTTTTCTCTGTCCAAATCACAAGGTCAAACTATCACCCCAGAGCTTATGGACTGGGAGACAGGGGAAAAATGAGGTGATCTTCTAAGTTTCCTCAGGATGTAAGGCCTGGTTTTGGATACCAAACACTTCAGCACTGATAAGGCTTAAATGTATTTTCCTGTGGGAAATTCCATTTTCCAAGGGATGCCTATATTCCAGAAGTACAGTTCTCTAAAATGGTATTTTGAATTGTAATAAAGGCAGTCTATAGTGAAAGCACTATACAAGAATAGCAGTTCAATATATGAAATGTAATAGTCCATTATCAGAGAAGGCAATGGAAGCCCCAAATGTCTGGGATCATATTTAAAGGAAACAATACTTGGCATTGAAGGAAATCATCCTCTTATCTTTTGAAGCCACCACACTTGCATTTCTTTTACATTAAGCCTGTCATTCAGTCATCAGTTATCTTGAAATGTTCCGAGGAATGGAAGGCTGGCTGTCTCATTTGTATTTCCACTAAATTCTCTATGATAGACAAGTTAGACAATGTAAGTTTGTCAGTCCTTCATCTGTAGAGTGTAGATGAAGGACTGCTCAACCTGGAATAGCGCTTTTAGAATAAACTGATTAGCAAGACGCTGAGGAGTGGTACCCAATACGATACTGAAGAAGACAAGATACATTTCTGGGCAGATGGGAAATAAAAACAATTTAGGGATACATTTATATGACGGTGATACCTACCCTCTTGCTAGACTTTCTTTTTATTTTCATATTTAATAAATTATAGTAGGATTCATTTTAAAAGTCCATTTCGGAACCGGTACAAAGTAGATTTTTACCATACAGTGCACAATTGAATGTGTGACAGTAAAGAACATTTTGAAAAGCCTTTTACCCAAAGTTTAAATCTTACCAAGGGATCCCCCTCGGCATCTGTCTGTGGAACATGCTTTGAGGTTGTTCCTTCCTTTGCTGATGCATAACCTTCATAACCAACATCTTCTGGTCTCAACTGAAGCAATGAGGGCCAGTCATGCTGTAGAGTTGCAGAGCTCCATGGATAGGTATCAGCTACCCACTTGGAAGGATCCTCCCAGGGTGCCCTCTTGCCATACATCTATATTATGGATATAACACAAGTAAGTATACTACTGAGTTTTCAATACCAGTTACAACACCAGACAGAAGTAAAAAAGGAAAACAGTCAAACCGTTGTAGTAAGGGGTTTGCTTTCAGATGTACTCAGCACTTGCATATGATAAGACATTCTAAAGGCCTCATCTCTTAATACTTCTTCAACATGCAGCATGGCTGCAAATTGAAAAGCACTCCGTAACTAGTGGTACTTGTAGGCAGCAGTGGGAGCCACAGGTTTTTGATACAATGTGAAATGAGACCTTTAGGTAATTTGCTTAAAGCGTATCAGTGAAATTAACTCAGTTAATTGGATTTCATTTGAAGTGAATTAGGAAGTGCCAGTACAGGTTGTTCTCTTCTAGCAAAATGGGATGCAGAAGCAGACATCTAACCCTGCCTTAAGTTTGAGATCTTTCAAGAAGTTTAGAGAAGAAATTCACAAAGGATAGGCTTTCTCTTCTATGGAGCACAAAAGTGCTTATGAATTTGGAAGGAGGGCAGAGAAAGGAAGAATGAGAATATTTTAAGTTTAGGAGGTCTGGTAGCTTCCTCACTAAAACTCATCTTTTCCCACATTGCTGCTCACAAGCAAGATGCTAATTGAGAGCCCTTTGGTTGCTGCATTACAGATGTCCTTTAGCTGTGACAGTGACACATTGGGATGAGGAGCCATTCCCGAGGGATTCCTGTGATTTCTCCTAGCTCAAACAGCCTCACACAATCCAAGCAGCAGCATAATATTGGCAGGGCGTACAGTCATAGAGCAATTAGATGGGCTGCTCTCCTAAAGGGAGTAAAGGAGTGCTAAAGCCAGAGAGATGTGCTTATCAGTGCAGCACCTGCTCCCAGGCACTTGCTGAATCCAGAACTCCAGGTTAGGCAGCCAAATTCCCTTTTTTATACACAGAGACGCTCAGGCTCCTTCTGTCCTACACAGAGGCTAGGCTTCTAAAATAAGCCTAAATAAGCCAACAGGAAAGGTTTCTCTGGGAGGTAGCAGGCTAAATCCAGGCTGTATATAGTACTTCCCATCTGAAATTAACAGTGATTAAATCTTTTCTGGAATCTGGACCAAGGCTTGTAAATTCTGTGTCTGACAAATAAGTTCGTAAAGTACCAGGCAAAAAGGGCCATTTTCTAGCTGTCCTTGGTTCCTGGAACATCTAATTATATAATAGAAATTGTTTCTGTTTATTATTAATAATGTTATTATGTAGAAGCCATTCAAAGCAGCTAAAAATGGGAACGGTTCAGGAAAAAACATATTTTCTTCTATATGCTGCCATCTTCTGCTCCAGAATTGAAGTTTGCATTTAAGTAGGTATCCTGTTTACTTGGGAAAACATGAGCATCAAGAATAGTACAGCATTTTTCTATCTGGTCTAAACAAATACTGTTAATCTCACCATAGCTGTTCTATCAGATATTTGGCAGTATTTTTGTACAAGGCATAAATACACTCTAATTCCCAGAGAGAAAAGCAGTTTTAGGAAAGCATGAGATATTCAACAGACAAGATTCTAAACCTCCATTGCATCAATATGTCACTACGTTAACAGGTGATAAAGAAACCATGGCTGCTTACACAGTTCTTTGACTAGCCCATAACAATCTACTCTACACTGTGCAGTAATTTCTTTCAGTGTCATATGTGGAAAAAATTGACTTTCCACAAAGTGCCTTTTCAGAGGACATAGAATTACAGTACATAGAAGAAAAAGGAAAAGGGAAAAAGAAAAAAAACCACAAACAACAAAAGACAAAAAACCCCCACAAAAACAAAAAGGAAAGAAAAAAAAAAGGAGGAAAAAAAAAAGAAAGTATTGATTTTAAGATTTAGGCTTGCTCCAAAGATATGGAATGGTCTGAAATCTTAACCTAGATAGTACAGCTTACAGTGCTGTTTATAGCAAATTTACTTGTAGCCCTCTTTCTAGTAAAGTAGAAGAAATTTTAATAATTCATTAACAATCAATGTAACTGCTGCTAACAATTAGCTCTGGAGAGGACAAGACAGAAGGAACTGTGAAGCACTCTGATCTGATGGCACTGTTACCCACAATGAGAATTACAGCCCTTAGCCCATATGGAGAAAGAAAAAAGGAGAAACAAAACTATGGGAAATGCAAGCAACATTGTAAGGGCAAAAAGGGACAGACCTTAATTTTCAGAAGAGCCAAAGAGAGGCAGTCTGAGCTGTACTTAGCATGGTTGTGAACACTTTAAACAGTGAAAAGAGAAGAACCTTTTTCCATTCACAGAGGAAAAGCCCTCTTCATAAAATACAAGATACGCTAGTGCTGGAGCAGACAAAGACAAATTACACATCCAAGAGCAGGTCAAAAGGAGTTCAAGGCTGATTTCTATAATCTCTCCACAGATTTTCTTCTTCCAAATGCAACAGCATTCATACTTGAGTGCATTGGTTAAAAGTAACTTAGAGAAAGCCTGTGAAACTAATTAAAAAAAAAAAATTGGTGGGAAAAAAATGATATACCTGAAGTCCTTCTCTCACAGCTTCCAGAAGATACGGCACCAGGGAATAGTTCCAGAGGTCTGTGAACCATACTCTGGAGCCATCAACATCCATAGGGCAGGGGAGGAAGAGGCGGGGACCTGAGAAACCAAGTTGTATATTAAAAAAAGTAGAACTAGGAAATACACTAAAAATAATCTTCAAAGAATTAAAAAACTAATATCAGAGCAAATTCAAGTGAAGAGAATACTAAAAAAAGACTACAATAAGAGAGCTATTTGTCTCTTGTTATTAAAAATGAACTTTGTCCAATTCTAGGGCCTGATAAACACTTGCAAGTTTTACCAGCAAAGTTATGTAAAAGGATGACTTCTTCGCTAACTAAAAGCCTCAGGTACAATCTCTGTCTCCCACGTTACTTTGCTGTACTGCCTGTCCAAGTGTGTTTTTTGATTGCTGTTATTATACTGCAAGGGGCTGTTATTACACTGCCGAGGGGAAAATAAGCCTTGGCAAGTTGCTAATAAGGTATTTTTTTGTAAATTTGACTTTTAAAATTATGATCATTTACTTGGAAGTCTTTAGCAATCAAGGCATAAATACCAGGAAATACATACTCTCTCATTAAACTTTCCATTTTCAATTTAATCTTGCTGGCAGCTCCACAAAATCCCCACACTGATGTAATTGCCATTGAGAGATGACAACTTTTAAAAAAGAGAATATATCTTTTACAAATCTCAAAAATGCTCAGCCTACTTCCTTATTTCAAACCACTCCACCAATGTACTCACCAATGGTTACATCTGAAGAGCTGTGCGTTTCTAGGAAGCTGTTGAGATGATGCCATGTCTTGGGGATCCAGTCAATGATTTTGATGAGCTCATTATTGCGTATGTTCTTTTCTATTTCAGTCTCAATCAGTTTCCTTCTCAGATATCTGCCCAAGAAACCTTTAACAGGCTCTGTGTGATTAGCACACAACACCCACCTGCATTGAAAGGATAAATGTCAAGCAGCAGTGAATAGCAAATACATAATTTCCTCTTAAACACATAGGTGAATGTGATGTCATAAGCTTCTGATAGTCTCATTAGTCAGAAAGTAGAGAACTGCTCCAATAAACCTCATTATTCCCAACTGCTACAACACAATAACTACAGGTTTCAGTATGAGTTCAAGACAATGCTGAAGACTAATCACATGGAAGACAGTAATAGTCTTCAGCATCTTGCTAGAGGTTCTGGAAAGTCTCTTGTTTCTTTCACCATTCCCCAGCACAATTCAGAGACCCATCAATACAGGAGAGATGTAGAAGCTAAAACACTTTGCTGTGGCGAGACACAGGATCAATGTTTGTCGAAGAACTGGGCTGAGAAGCAGGGAGCTGTGCAAACACAGTCACAGTACATACGGAGTGAATGTACCTGAAATTGTGATGCAGCTCCAGATTTGGTGAAGAATTAACTCCCTGGTTCATGGTTCCAATAATATAGGGACTGAAAAGAGAAAAGTAGTAGCGTTTTTTTGAGGGATAATTAATCCAGATATTCAGAGAACATTCTTTCTTCTTGTCTGCACTAAGCCAATTTAAAAAGAGTCTCTGGCTGTATTGTAGTCTTAGATTTTAAATACTCCTGAGGCACACTTTTAAAATGTTTGTTCTTGTATTATTTCCCTATCTGCACATTTGTAGTTTACTACTACTCATCTGTAATAAAGAAATAAGTGAGGCAAGCCTGTCCTCCTGTACCTCGTAATTTTGCAGTAAGCTAAGAGTTTTAATTTCAGAAGCCAGCGAATCTTATGAGTAAGACACAGCATGTAGTGATTTCATGAAGGGAAGTCCATATTATGGCATTTTTACAGCAGAAATAGCCAATGTTATAGGCCACTAAAAGCCTATAACTTCAGAAAACATTATTTTTATTCATGCTTGGCAATAAAGGACAGTAGCAAGCTTCATACTTCTGCACTGCTACAGAAGAACTGTAGGAAGTGTAAGTGTGTCAGGTACACAGATGCTTCTGCATGGCATGGATCATAGATTTACATATACCCCAAATTCCACTATTATAAAGTGCATTTCTTCTTACTCTTCCATAAGATGTTCTCATAGTACTAATGAGCTTGTGTGATCTGACAGTGTGGAAGGGGTAAGACCCTAATTTAGGCAAGCATTTAATTATATTCTTAAATTCAGTGGTACATTTACATCTCTCTGAGATGCATGGGAGTAATATAAATAAAGTGAAGTAGACACCTAAGCACTTGGCTGAAGAGGGTTAAAAAGATTCAAGCACCTAAGGGCTTTGCTGACAGCCTGTGGGTGTCTTAATTTCCACTGGGACATTTTACTTTGCAAAATGACAAGCAGCTGTTACTGTTTGAATTGCAAAAGCTGAGTGAAAGGGAAGAGAAAAGCTGCTACCTACCATTTATTATATTTACAGTTAAGGAAACCATTGAAGATGTCGCTTAGTGAACTGATGTGGTGGAGGTTATCAAGAATTATGACCACAGGGAGGTCAGCACCAGTGTTGTCAGCACTGCATTGCTCAGCTAGGTTTGCTAGGTATTGTCGAAGATCCTTCAGCAGAATTAACAACAACAACAAAAAAACAAACAACCATCAAAAACAACACAGAGAAGAGTAACCCAATTAGACCACAAAAGCAATTTCAGTGGAAAAGATCTTCAGAAAGATAAAGGGGCTTCTACAGAGTTTCCCCACAATGGATCATTCAGATGGATTGGCACATGCTTCTTAGGGCAACACTGAAGCCACATGGTAGGAAAAACAAAGGCATTAAACACAGGGGTAGTGACTGAAGCATACACACTTCTATTCAGTGGATATATTCCTTAGAAACCTGCTGATAAAATATCTTATCTCCAGTGGAAAATAGTTTGCAATAAAATATACCATTTTCAATGGTCTGAGAAACTCAGATGAATTGTTGGATATCCATTTTACGAATGTCCCATTGGTATACCAAAAAATCCCCACCAAATTATCACACACTTCTGGCATATTGGACTGCTTCTTCATATATCTCCTTTTGCCACTCTCTCTGAAAATCTGTTTGACCTTTCAGGGATACTATATCTTGCATCATAATAAAGTTTGCTGTGTAAATCCTTTTCCCTGTCAGCTATCTGGCTGCTGGTTAGTGCTGGAGTGAAAGAGAGCTTTTTATAATCAAAATATTTCATATTTTTCTCAACATTCTCTGCCCTTAAGGATCTGGGCTAGTCAAGTTTTACAGCTGTAAAACTGATCCCTGGAGGTATTTAAGTTTGTCAGCCTTGGGAATGCTCAGTATTGTGGAAAAAGTTCCTTGTACAGTTTTACTTCCCAGATCAGGGATAGCAGAATTTCCCTTCCCTTCCCTTCCCTTCCCTTCCCTTCCCTTCCCTTCCCTTCCCTTCTTTTTATATTTCAAGAAAAATATTTCTCTGGCTTTTTATGATCAGATGTTTCTAAGGGAATAGCATGGATTTCTTCCATGGAACAGCACCATCTATATTATTCAAATACTTGGTATTTGACAAAATTGGTATTTCTTTTTTACTACGAACTCAAAAGTTCCATATAAATCTTCATAGCAACAAAGGAAAAGGAAAAAAAGAAAACTACAACAAAACCAGGAAAACACATACAACAAGCAATTTATCAGGAATCCAAAAGCTTGCTCTTTTGTGGGACAATTTTAATTATAAATGTAAATGGTATAGCAATAAAACATAAACACATACCCTGCCAAAATAAATGGCATCACAAATCCTCTGTATAAAGACAGTGAAAAGCAGTATTTTTACTGAAATGGTGTTCTCATGATCCCCTTTGGGATTTGTCTGTTCTTTCTTCTTATATAATGCTAACATTCATTATATTCTGTGCAAATCAGAAAGCTCTGGGCAAAACCTTTCATTTTACTTTCCCTGGGTACCAAGTTAGGAATATACCCAATTTAGGACAGCAGGTGAACAGTATTATCTGTAGCTAGCACAGGAGTCATGCTAGAAGCTTGATAATCTGAGCTGTGTAAATCATTGTGAATGTGACATGATGCATGAGGCAATTTTAGCATGGTCAGCTTCCTGACTGATGCATGCCAGAAACTGTGGCAGCAGTTGTATTTATCCAGTGCTGATTAAGAAGCTGAAGCCAAGACAGTAATTCCAAATCCCCATTCTGAAACCTTTGTTAACAACAGGCTGCTATTATCACGACAAAAAGGCAAGCTAGACTAGCTTAATTATATATCAACTTTTTCTGATGATGGAATTACAGACACTTTAATAATTGAATTTACTAAGGAATTTGACTCTGCATGCATCCTTAAGGTGGGTTTCCTCAAGTGAGGGAAAACCCAGACTTCCTTCACAGTGGTTCAATTGTTTGTTTAGAACAGAAAAATCTTGTCCCTGTTCCTCACTGGGATGGGACACTGAATTTCTTGCAGGGAAAAAGGCTGAGCAACAACACTGTATGCCAGTTAATAGGATCTGCTCTGCATTATCACTACAAATTGGGCAACAGGGCATCTTTTCAGCCATAACTTACCTTGCTTGACTTGTGATCTACGTTAAAAGTTGCAATTGCATCTTCAGTTTTTTTTCTGCCAGATTTAGTTATAATATATTCAGCCAGCCTGTTAGCTAAATAGGTCTTTCCTGTGCCACTGGGTCCCGACAGAATAATTCTGTGATGCTCCATCAGTAAATTAAAGTACCGCTGGGTAATTGGCTTAGGAATTAATGTGTCAAACACAAAACTGTCCAAACTGTTTTCTTCCACTCCTGGGAACACAAGAAAAGAAAAATGGCCTGTCTTCATCCTTTTTAAAGTAGGTATTGGTTTGGTCCAGAACCTGACAATACTTCTGCCTAAATCAAATTCCTATCAAGGGCTTCATTACTGTGGAAATGTTTATGTCCTTCCACATGGCCAAGAAATTAAGCAGTGGTAGAGGGACAAGATGGGTGGGAGAGACAAAATTAAAGTAAATGTGAAGAGAAGGCTCAGTGGGGCAAAGATGTATGTTTCACACACTACAGGCAATCATGACAAAAAAAGGTCAAAGCAACAGTCACAAGGGTTAGAGGTTGCCACACCAGGGTATGTCTAGTTTTCCTGAAGCCCCCTCTTCCCTTCAATAGCAAATCCCGACAGCTTTTGAAATGTACTGAATTTTTCCTGTGGAACTCAGTAAGGCATAGATATTTCTCATCCTAATTTCTGTTTTGGGGTTGTTGGGTTTTTTTGCCACTATTCAGAAATTCATGCTTTGCTGTGATTTGACAGTCAGGCAGAGAAAGATATAGATATTCTTAGATTTGTCTCAAAATACCCCACTTTGTGCAATGTCACACAGAGCATTTATGTGATAAATGAGTTGTTGAACTGGAGACAAAATTCAGAAAGGTCAGGTGTAAGAAAAAAAAGAATGAGGGAATGGGGGGCTGCACTGACAAATTATACAGTATGTGCAAAAATATTTTTGGGATTTTACCTTTCAGATTCACAGTGATGACATTGTTATCCCCAACCAGATAACCACAAGGCAGCAGTTCAGGCACTTCTAGGCTGTGGGATCTAATTACATCCCCTATACAATAGCTAGCAATGCAGTCAGAGCTTAAACCCAGGCTAGCAGTTGGATCCACTCGGAAAATATATTCCTGAAATTATATGAAAACATAAGACACAAAAATTGTTAATAAATGAAAGCAGTTTCGAAAATGTTTTGGTACAGACGAAGTCACTTGACAAAGAGATTCCTGCAGTCATATTCAATACAGAACTGCCTACAAACATGAAGAAAGAACAGCAACATTCAAAACAAAGTTTAACAGTGGTGTTAGTTCTATGTCAAAAAGCAAAACAAAGTAAAAACTTGGCAAGAAAACGCAAGGAATACAGGATTTTTCTGAAGTAAAAATGAAAACAAAATTAATTCTTGAGCTGATTTTTCACTCTCTTACCTTAAAGAGACGTCTGATTACACCATCTAAAACATCCCATTTTGTTTTTCCGCTGACTCCAATTGACCCTATCAAATATGCATGTGGTTTTTGATCCTGCAAAGACAGATTTTTGAAAACTGGACTAAAAATGGGTGTAATGAGTTATTGATGAAGAGTCACAATTTTACCAATTAATAAAAATAATATTACTTAGAATGTGATGTTACAATTTTGCTAGTAATCTCTGTGCCAGAAACAGGTACAGATGATATTACTTTGGTACCTCTTTATAAGGAAGGAAATACTGTATCTTATTTTGCACTTAATTTGTATCTGTATTTATAAAGAGCTAAATATAAGTAAAAGTTGCATTGTATTTATAATATTACTGCAATAAAGAACATGAAAACACAACACAATTCCAAATTGATTACCTCATCATAAGATTCATAGCTGCACCCTAAGGGGTCCGAGGCATAGATCTAATTTCTAATGACATTTAAATGGGGATACCAAGTCCCAGAACATCCTACTACTGATTAAACTGAGAATTGGTAGTGTCTGAGCCACCATGAAGGCAGAAGGTGGCCATATGACATTATTCTACAGAGAGTGCCTAAGTGTGTTGAGTGAAGATGACAGAGAAGAAACCTGCTATTTTTAGAATATTTATCTTTAGTTCCTGTCTGAAAATAGTGAAACAAATTGAATTACTATACTGCAAGACTTGCCTGACCTATAATTCTGCATCCAGACCTTTGGTTAATGAACTTACCTTGGCTCGACTATAGCCCTTGTTTATAGTCACTAAAATTTTCACGCTATGGCCTTCTTTGTGGACTGCTCCATCAGTGACCTCATCCAACAAAATATCTGCAATAAAAGAAGGGAAGGAAAGTGATCAGCCTGACAAATAATTTCAGTTATGTTCACATCATCAGTTAAAAATGTGTTCAAAGTTTTTTCGGTTGAAAAGAAAGGTTGCCATCAGAACAACGTATAATCATTTTAATCTGTTTTTATTCCTAATTCACCTTTTCTGTTGGAGGTGAAAAGAAGGTACAGTTTGACATTTTTTTGAGCAGTATTAGGACCTTTAATCATGTAGAAATGAATTGGGAAACAGTAAATAAATAATTTCTTGCTTACAGACTTGCCTTTGTTTTTCCTCTTGAAACATTTTTAGAATTACTTTATGTTCACAAAGTAACGTTTAAAACCTAACTTAAGTTTACATCTTTGAAAATTCATTGTACCCTATAGAATGCTGTAAGAAAAAAAAGCAACAAATTATTGCATTGATATGTTTGCTGATAAGTAAAAAAGCATTTTATTTTCTCTTTCCATCTGATTTCTTTACATCCATACACACGACATAGATAGTCTTTTTTAACCCCACAATACTGGCTGATAAACAGTAACCATTAGGAAAATCACTTTGCATTCCTCAAGAATAAGGGACTCTGTTTTCAGCCATTCCTGTAAGAAAAGGTTTCATTTTTCTTGGAGAAGTTCTGATCTTCTCTGTGCCTCTGTTTCTACCTCCTTGCTAACTCCTAAAGTGAGAAAGCAGAAGGACATATTTCTAACTGAAGGTTGAGCCTGCCACTTTATGACCAGTGATAAAACTGCTGCCTTCCTCCAGAAGTTCTCTCTGAGATTTTCCTGCTAGACATTTAAACTCACTACCAAATTAGGAGATATTATAGATTTGCATTTCTTCAAAGGCCAGCACAGTAATCCACTACCCTAAGGACTGCTTGTTCTTATTGCGGTGACTGAAGAAAAGCATTGACTTCGTGTCATAGTCTGCACAAGGTCAGATTTCACCCAAATTCAATGAAGCAACAGTAAGATTCAGTCACTTCCTTAAATCAACACCAAAAAAAAATTATGAATATGATTATATAAATGAACATATTAAAAAATAAGTCCTACTGTTAAAATGTTTCACAACTTACACAACTATAAATCAGATTCTGGTTGTTGGTTTTGTTTTGTTTTGTTTTCTTTTCTTTTTAACTGATGGGATAAAGAAATTTTTTTGTTGTGAGCTCTAATAAATCCATGCTTACTTTGATCAAGGCAGCTAGTTTCTCCATGACACCAACATTGAATATTTCACTTCACTTGTATTTCAGCCTATTTGACATAGCTTAAGATAATAATCCACAATATAATAGTTCATCTGAGGGCAATTTATAATATATTGCATCCCCCCGTGAAATTTTTCAATCTCTCAATGACCTTCGTGTAGCCTTTTAAATACGTTTTCCTGAAGTCTTTAGGTATGAGGTACCAGTCTGTGACTGGGAAAAAAATCCACTTTCTACTAAAAGCTCTCCCACTCACAGACCCAAGGGATAAAAGAGATGCCCAAGAAGGTCTACTGTCATGGTGATACTACCTGCTTTAATTAGCTCCTGTCAGACCTTCTTCTTTGGTGTGCTGTGGTGGCCCAGTTCAATTCTTGTCTGAGCTATGGTTCTTTTCACTGGACAATAAAAGAGACTTCTACAAGTCCTTTTTTTTGCTGCTTTTCACTCCACTGTCTGATTGAAATATGTATCTCTGACAACCAAGTCTCTCCCTGCTTTGTCAGTCTCATGTAACAGGAGATGGTCATACCCTTAGGAAGTAGCAATGGATATCTTTGGTCACTTCTCTCAGAAATCTGGTCAGTGTCTCTCAGAAAGTTCATTTTTTTTAATACAACGAGCTAAAGCCCTCATTATCTCTTTGAGCTTAGTCCACAGCATGATTAACCTCTCCACGTCTCAGGGACTTTTGTTCAATAGTACTCCAGATGCTACAGAAATCCCACAAGATGTGGTAGGCAGCTGTCACCCTTCCAAGTTCTCTGGAACGGCAACAAAATGATACTCAAAATGATCAAAAAGGCTGGATTCATAACCATATGAAATCCTCCACTCCTCATTAGGCATCCTTATTTCTTTAATTTCTTGTAACCAAAAGTAATTACTTTGCATGCTAGAAAAGCATTTAGAACCAGTAACACAGAAGATTATATAAAGCTTGTATTATGTTTATTTCTGTATCTAGACAGAGTTAGAGCCAAGTGAAAAGGTGCTAATAGCTGCTACTCATGAAAGAGATTATAAAATTACCATTTTGAAAAAAAATATAAATTCTGTTTTTTGGGGGTATTTTTTTGTTTGTTCTTTTTTGGGGGTTTGTTTTTTGTTTGTCAGTTTTTTTGCTTTTTGTGTGCTTGCTTTGTTGTTTGTTTTTTTTTTTAAATGTGTGTGAATGTGTGAGGAGGAACAACAGTTAAACTTTTCTCTCTGTTTTTGCAATACTTCATTTAATATTGAGGCTCAGCTCAGGCTTAACCATTTAAAAGTTAAACCTAGTAAAAGAGAAGGCTGGAATGTAAATTAAAAAATATACCAAATTTCACATATAATCTGGTATTAACCAGGAGAAATGTTAAAATATCCATGTAATCAATGACTGGCAAGATAATATTACTAACTGCCAATCCAAATTCTAGTCAGGCAGTTTGGCACATTCCGAGTTGTACTCTTGCCTAGGCTTTTTCTGCAATTATTAGCCACATTTTTATTGCTTCCAGAGACAGCATTATACTTTTTGTGGAGCCTACACTAATGAGTGCTGCTTTGCTGCTGCTCTGCTCCTGCTTCTAATGTTGGAGACAGCAATTCTGTTTCTTGGCTACATTATCAAAACAAGTGCAAAGGGCTTATCATCATAAACTCTATGGCATGGAAAATAATCAAATGTTAATGTTCAGGATGTGGACCAAAGTTCTGCTTGCTTTCTTCCATTCACGGAGGACAATGAGAGTGCTTAATAAGTCAGGCAGGGTTTGGCTCCTGTGATAAATGGGGATTTAACAGGGGAATGGGAAAATATTGAGGAAACAGGCCAACTAGCTATATCACATTAAAAAATGTAAGGGATAATAAAGCTAACTGAGACCATCTTCTACCCCAGCTGCAAATACAAAATTCAGTTAAGGGAGCTAACTGACTGATAAAAGTTCTGTAACAAAAAAAAAAAATAAATAAAAAATTCATGTACTATGCTCGTATTTGTCCCACAGGGACAAGAGAATATATCTATACAGCTGTCAAGGATACTGCAACAGATATGGTTCCTTTTCAAATAAATTGTAAACTAGATGACAAAGGAGTAGATAGCTGACCAACTAGGCAGGTAGTATCGTAGGTAGGACCTAAGCAAACATAATGAACAATCTGATACTATGATTCAGAGCCTTCTAAAAGCTACATTTTCAGAAATTATTGCCAGCATTCTTCCTCATGTCCACTAGTAAACGTATATTTGACGTTTACCCAAGTGATACAAGGCATTTTAACTTTCAGGTATGCTTATATATGTCCCATTAAGAGGGTGAAAATAGTAAATTCTTGCTAATTGCTGAGGCATACATGTGACCAAAATATGTTTACCTGATGTAATAGATTCTGTGACGTTTAAATTGTTCAGAGAAAGTCCTAATGACTGCCTTGATGAAGAAGATGATGTGCTGCTTGACGACTCTGATGGTGGACGGGCAGGCTTTCCAGTATTTCCAGTCTCTGCCTTTAAACGATCATTTTCAGCTTTCAATATCTCAATTTCATTCTGTAATCAAAAGAAATCAGCACAAAAGCACAGAGTTTTTTGTTTGTTTGTTTTTTTATTATTTTTTTTTTCAGAAAACCACGGGGAGTGGCTATTCTGGTGCTTGCTGTTTGCCTGCAAGAGCTACCTGGTTTACCACTTTCACAGCAGCATGTAGCACAAGGTGTTAGAAGCATAAACCAGTCAGTGAAAACTGGTTTTCTGTCACTTTTGAAATGAAGGGAAAAAACTTACAGCCTCAAGAGAGCTCCTAAACAGCATAAGCCTCAAGCTTCTGTGTCTATTGTAAATATGAACATAACACAAGTAGAGCGAAAGTTTTCTCAGTTATCTCCAGTGTTATATGCTACTTTTTGTTGTCAAATATCTTAGGTAACAGTCATTTAAGAAAGCTGTTGCTAAAATCTTAAGACATGTCGATGTTTCTAAAGTCACAGTTACTAGCAAGTGTAAAATTTAAGCAGTAACTTCACAGAGGAGAAATGAAATAAAAATTGGCTGATTAGAAAATTAGTTTAACAGTTTCATAACCCTTCTTGCTATCAGAAAAGAGTTTTTGATCATTCAAGCATAGGATTGTTCCCATAATCACCAGCAAACCCTCTTTGATGAAAACATACAGTGACAGATGAATCAGAACAACTAGGAATTTTTTTTTTAGCTAAATCCTCTGTGCTGCCAAGTGATTAATTAACATACAATAATGAAATAAAAACTTAGTCTGAGAACAGGCTGGTACTAGCTAGATCTAGTTTTCAGTCACTTCACGAAGCACAGCACAAAGCAACTGCTTATTCTTGCAGACGGTTTTGCACATCAAATTTAATTCCACATTCGTTAACACTCTGCTAAAAGTTCTATTATTTTATGAAGGCTGTTGAGCTATGTTATACAAGTAAAAACATAAGGAACAGCATCACAAAAAAACCCCAACCCTCAACAGCTACAGAAAGATTAGATCACGTAAGCAAAGGTGAAGAGAAAGTGAAAGGGAAGGGACAAACCAGCAAAATAGTGACAGAAGGGATGAGATGAATGCACCAGTTTAGGCTGGGGTTCAGATCAGAAACTAGGGTGATATGAGTCATGCAATCTCTATCTACTCAGAAACTTCTGCTGATCTTAGGAGTCTTCCATTCATCTGAGTCTTAGTTTTTTAAGGTGCTTTGAATACTCACCGTATTCATGTATCATTCCCAACCAATCTTAATTTTTCTCCTTAGCAATGCTCATCAATTTTCCAAAATGCAATAGAGTTTGGCAACTCCAAGGTGGCTGCCTGTCCTTTTAGGAAAACTTCAGAAGTTGAGGTCTTTTCCAAGCCCTAAGATTCTGTGATTCTGTGAAGTGGTGATTAACAGCGACGGTATCTGGACTCAGATCTGCTCAGCTTTGGTGAAATTCAAAATCTAGAGGCCTGTGGCTACAGCAGACTGTTCTCTCTCTGGGGAATTCACCTGGTTTAGGCACTCGCATTCCAGTCTAGGACTTCATCACCTGATAAGCCTTCATGTACCAGTTCAGTTCAGGCAAATATGACATGGCAGTGTTAACATCTAGTGGTGTGAGCATTTGAGACGATGGTGAGCACCAAAGATATTTAAAGGTGTGGCTAAGACTGCTATTGGCATGTTACAAACAGGTCTACAAAAGACAGCAAGCATGCCAGAGCTGTTAGTTATGAAATCAGTCACTGTGAACATCTATACAAAAGTGCCTACAGGTGCACCTGACCTAAGTACCCAGCACAGAGCAATTCAGCTGGCAAAACACTGGGGGTCAGGTGGAAATCATGGCTTGTCCCCTCAGGAAGGCAGCAGGACAATTAGCCCAGCTGAAGTGCATCTACACTGATGCACACAGCATGGGCAACAAACAGGAGGAGCTGGAGGCCATCATACAGCAACAAAACTATGATACAGTTGCCATCACAGAAATGTGGTGAGGCGACTTGCACAACTGGAGTGCAGAGATTGATGGCTACCAAATTTTTGGAAGGGATAGACAAGGAAAGAGAGGCCGTGGGGTGGAGACCTATAACCAGCAGTGTCCCCCAAGGGTCAATACTCAGTCTGGTCTTGTTCAACATACTCATCAGTGACCTGGAAAAGGGGACAGAGTGTATCCTCAGCAAGTTTGCTGATGATGCCAAACAGGGAGAGGTGGCTGACACTCCAGAGAGCTGTACTGCCATCTAGTGTGACCTGGACAGGCTAGAGAGCTGGGCAAAAAACCTAATGAGGTTCAACAAAGGTAAGTGTAGTGTCCTCCACCTGGGGAGGAAGAACCCCATGCACCAATATAGGGTAGGGGTGGACCTGCTGTAAGGCAGTTCTGAGGAGAAGGATCTGGGAGTCCTGGTAGATAGTAAATTACCCATGAGCCAGCAATGTGCCCTTGCTGCCAAGAAGGCCAATGAAATCCTGGGGTGCATAAGGCAGAGTGTGGCCAGTAGGTCAAGAGAGGTAATTCTCCCCCTCCACTCTGCCCTGGTGAGACCACATCTGGAACACTATGTCCACTGTCTAACAGGTGGGTTCAGGGAGGGTAGAGCTAGACTCTTCTCAGTAGTTCCCAGTGACAGGACAAGGGGCAATGGACACAAGCTGGAACATAGGAAGTTCCAGTTAAATATGAGGAAAAACTTTACAGTGAAGGTGACAGAGCCCTGGGACAGGCTGCCCAAGGAGGCTGTGGACTCTGCTTCTCTGGAGATATTCAAAACCCTCCTGGATGTAGCCCTGAGTAATGTGCTCTAGGCAATCCAGCTTTAGCAGGGGAGTTGGACTAGGTCTCTAGAGGTCCCTTCCAACTCTGACAATTCTGTGATTCCATGATTATTAAGTTAATGCTTATCATACCCATCCTTTGGAAGTGCTGTCAATCTAACAGTTTAATTTGCAAGAACTTTTTTTTTTTTTTTGGTACCTGAAACGAAGTACCGGGAAAGGAAGTACATCAGGCTGAATACCTTTGGTGTGCTGCCCTGTCATCACTTCAGCTACTGCACTGACCTGCATGCGGTTCATGGCTTCCCGAATCTGATCCAGATGGTGTGCAGAGCTGAGAGCTTCAAGACGAATGTCTGTTAGTTTTAACTCTTTCTCCCTCAACTCGCTCTTTAGCTGAAGAATAATCTCTGCTTCTGCCTCTGTGCACTCACAGATCCTAAAGAGGAGCAGGAAAAAAGCAGCAGATTAAAGGAAAGTTCTTCCGAGAAAGCAGTGTCATTACTAAGTATCAAAGTACAAAAAATGCTTGTTGCTGGTGATACCTATGAGTGAAGAAAGAATCTTATTGAGTAAACATAAAAAGGCTCAATTTGCAAATAAAAAAAAAAAGAAAAAGGCCCTCACCTGGTAAAATGGTCACTTTGCTTTTTACCTTTCCAGTTTAGGTAGATAGTTCAATATATCAAAAAATGTTGTTAAAAACATTTCACAACTTTTAATATTTTTTGTTTATGTATGTGACCCATTGGTTTTAATCTGATTTTATATCTGCATCATTTCTTTGGTGCAAAATTATGATTTTCCCAGGTAGCAACACTCATTACTGAAGTATACTGATCAAACTGCACTACTGATATTTATTATCTGTTAGGCACCAACAGCTTTCTCTGTTTCGAACAGTACAAAAAGAGACACTCCTTGATTTCATGATCTGGAAGATTTTGATCTGTAATTGTTTTGATTTGTGATGGTTGATATTTTGCCCATAGATTGCCATTTGGTAATGTATGGTGCCTGAAATAACGTGGTGGTTTTTTGTTTTTTGTTTTTTTTTATTCTTTCTTAAACACTAGATTATAAGTAACCACTATGTGATTATTGTTCCTAAGCACTAATCTTAAGGGAATGAACGATTATACTGTGATAAAAGATCAAAATATTCCTGGCCTGGGGACCCACAACTGGCTTGTTCTCATGTAAGACTGTTTTGTCTCTCTGTGTGATTATCAGATGTAGATCTGTTGCATAACAGGACCAGTAGAAAATAAAACACTGAATATTGGCTATGTTGTTACACTCAGCAATATTTTCAGTGAAGTCACTAAAATGTTATTTGCTTCTTATTACTATAAAGTTATATATGGTCACTATAAGGAGTTAATATTTGCAGAACAATTTAAATCTGAAAAAAAAAAATCTTATAACAGTAAGTGTTATCATTGTGATTATTACTACTAATATACAAACAAGAAACAAAAGAAAACTTTTAATTGCCAGAATGCATGCAAATGCATTTTGGGAAAGAAGATGCAGCACTCTCCAGGTCAGCAGTTGCATATACAACTCCATGCCCCACACTCAATTTTACCGGGATCTATGCCTGTAGACCATGAGACCCTTTTGCCTTTTCTTTGGTGCCCAGACTAGAGATGACCTGCATACACACGTATTAGATGCAATCAGAAGAAAGTAAAGGTAGCGGTTTAGAACATGAGACTCAGGTCAATAAAACATATAAAGAAAGTGTAAGCAAAGGGAAGATGAAGTTCATGGCAAATAAAAGACAGCAAATTGAAGAAGGAAAATAATGAGCAGCGTTTACAACATGCACAAATATTTAAAAGATGAGTAAAAATGAATAAAGGCATATACTAAGATTTTTTAAAAAATATGTTACAGTTCTTGGTATGATGTGCTCATACCTATTCTAGCCAATAAGAAATGAAATTTTATTTCCATGCATGTATTATCTCATACAACAGTTTGGACAACTGGGAAGCCACGTGTCTAATTGTTGCCTATTTTCTTTAGGGCTTATTTGCAGTACATTGTGAGAAGGAATGGACAAAAAGATCTTGGAAGTCAGCTTTAAAGAAGATTAAAATGAAGCAGAAAGTAGGGCTACAGTTCTAGAAGGTGCAGGAAAAAGCTGTCTAGACTGTTAAGAGAAGTAGAATGAAAGCAGAAAGTACAAATTGAATTTTCTTTTGCAAATTCCAAAGCTCTTCAACACTCAGCTCCTAAAACTGCAATATTACATGAGACTTCATCAAAAGGAAGAAAAACAAAAAGATAAGTTAGCGTTCCTGAGCAGTCACAGAAAGAAGCTCAGAAGCCTGATCAGACTTCAGACAAAGGTTCAGCGTACTGAGAAGAAAGAGTTTTACTTTTTGTTTCTTGTAACAATGTCAGGATTTTTAAATCAATAGGCTGCTTTGAGTAGGAGGAGTAAGTCAGGTTTGAACAGAGGCTGCTGACAATTACAAAAAGTCTTGGAGGTGTTTAAATTATACAGTGGAACACTGAGTCTTCCAAGGAAAGTAATATTATCAATATGACAGACAAATAAATTAATTTAAATACATTTCATATGATCTCTTTGTGTAGGGGAAGGAATCTATGTTAGACTGTGTAGAAAGATCACAATAATAAAAAATGCAATATGATCAGAGAGAACAGTTTTTAAAAATATTGTGAAGGAAGAACCAAAAGGCTGTGAACTGGACAGAATTTTGGAAGTTAAGGCTCGGAGACCAAACAGCCATAGGAAGACCTTGGGATAAAAATTAGATATGTAGCGTTGCCCTTGATAAATTCTGGGAACACCAGTGCATCTAGAGAGTGAGTCAAAGAGACTGAGCAAAAAGCAGGGTCAGCAGAAAGGAAACAGGATAATGTAATGAGAGCAGATCTGTGAATCATGAGTAAATAATTTTGTAGAATAAAAGTTTTTTGTTTCAGTTCCAGCACTTAGGTTTTTATTAGTGATTTTTAAGTTGATAACAAATCAGACTCAAGGGTTCCAAACATGTAGAAATGCTCCTCTCAAAACACACATATCCCAGAAACCATAAAAATGTGACCTTCCTATTAAAAAAACAAAACAAAACAAAACACAAGAAAATTAGATCTAGATTAGTTATTCCTCACTAGTCTTTAGAAAATGAGAGGAGATAAAAACTTTAATTGAGAAGGGATTTATTTTGTGGGAATATTTGCTGTCAAATTCCTAAACTTAGTACATAAAAATTATTAGAGTCTATAGGAAGTTGATCATAAAAGGCACCTAATCTAAGCCAGGGAAACTATTCTAAAGCTCAGTAACCAGCCATGAGACTAGAATTTTCCAGCTACTTTAGGTAAGAGTAGTTGTGACCCAATTATTCTCAGTCAGGACGAAGAAAGCAAGGCTGGCATGATTAGTATGCATTTGTTGGTTTGAAGAGATTGATTTCCTCAAATTGAAAAAACTTAGCAGTTTAGCAGAACAAAAAAAACTAGGTAGAAGAATACAAACGGGAGCTGAGAGGTCTGTAAGAATGCTATATGAGACATTTTGACTGATGACTTTTTCTCAGTCCTGAAATATTAAGCATGGTGATTTAATAAAATAAAATAAAAAAGTAAAATCCTGCAAAAAACATCCAAGGTAATAAAAGAGAGGAAATAGATAAAAAAAATTATATAGATATAAATTATCAGCTACAAATTAGATAAAGTAATAACAAAAAAGATGAGTATCTTGTAAATATTCATAGCTACCTGAAAAATAAAATTATATTTTCAGTATGTGATGAAGAAAGGAAATTGTAGCATTTGACCTTTACTAAGTGGATATGCGAAAGTTGTTAATGATTCAGGAAAAGCACAACATAAGCTTTGGGATATGCCTTTGGAAAGAGGTTTGTACTGCTAGAAAGTTCAGGGTAATACCTGTGAAAGGAGAAGAGAATGACCTAAGAAAGTGTATCAGTGGAGTGAAGCTCATAAGAAATATAGCAAATGGGTTGAATGCAAGATTAAAAGACCACAACTGTTGGCAATGGCTTCTGAACTGCAAATAACCAGACATCAGGAGGTCTGTTTCACAGTTCATCCCATTTGGGAGGAAAGATTTGCCAAGGGACAGACTTACGCAGATGCTGACTGTGATGGTTTCATTGATGTTGCACCACACTCTCCAGAGCTGTGTGGCAATTTGGGTGATGAAGGAAGAGAGGAGTCAGTCAGCTCTTCTATGTCTGAATGTGAGGAAGGAGGCTTGGTGGACTTCTTCTTTCCAAAGGCCTGTTTGAAAGAGCTTCTTAGCTGGAAAAAAAAAGATAGAGCAAGATTATTTTCCTCATCATGGCAATTTGTGTGCAGCTCATGTTTCGAAGAGTTAGTTTGCAGATGCCATCCTAGCCACTGCCTGAGGTCAGTATACAGAAGCAAGGTATTAACATATGCAACACAGTATCTCTAAAAACATGATACAGTGCTTTGTTTTGACTTTATTAATCCAGCGCAGCGCAAACATAATGCTATGGAAAAAGTGCAGGACCACGTAGCACGGCTATGGGAGAGGGGTGCTCATTTAAAACCATTAAGCCCCAGTGGAATCCCATTCCCATGGCATTCCCTTCAAGGGCAGGCTTTAAATAACCACTTTGCATACAGGTACAGAGAGAACTTGCTGTTACTAAATGCTGAAATCAAGTCCAGATTACTGGGTTTGCCAGTTCATTTTCCCTGATAAATTTGAGGGGTCAAACTATGCAAATGCCATGTTTTGGATCACAAGCAAGAGGTTTTAAGCTGGGGCATGAGGCTTGCTTTGTTGTACTGCTGAGAAGAATGTTAGCCGCAAGGTATGTACTCTGCTGCAGTTTCCTTTAGAGTAGTAAGATCTCTGAACATACAAGCATTGCCTTTTCCCTCTAGAAGTATTTATCCAGTATTGAAAAGGGACAGAATAGCCAAAAAGCCATTTATTTCAGGAGCCAAGATGACAAGTTTTGTCTGCATTGGATTTTAACTAGCCCATTGGTTGATACCTTTGTCTAAATATCATCTTAGGAAATACATGGTTGGTTTTTGTTTTTATTTTCAGAAAGTTGTTCTGATTAAAATTGTATAAAACTCAATGACAAACTGATTTATCTATAAAAATGAGGTTTTCAAACATTTGCTTTTCACAATATCATTGGAGAGTGGGGAGTGTGACCACTGATCAGAGAAACATTATTTAAGTCCTTTCCAGTCCATGATATTTAATGAGAAAGAAATGGATTTTGGCTACACTCCCCCTTTCTATAGTCTACACTTTGAGATTAAAATGAATAGAGACAAACTGAGAAGACATAAAGGATAATCTGTTTTTAGGAGGTATAAAAGCCTACTGCCAAAATAAATAGCAATCATGCCAAGATAGGGTTCTTTATAGATGCATGCCAAATTGTCCATGGTTTATATTCACCTCACTTCCTCTAGAGTTCACCTTGCAGAAACATGAAAGA